TCATAAAGATATTCACTAATCTTAGGGGAAGAATGAACACAGTACAACCTTCAACATAGAGACAGAAAATATAACAAAATACCAAAGAGAAGGTATAACTGAACTGAAAAATGCACTTTAGGGGTTCAACAATTGACTGGATAAAGTAGAAGAATGAATCAGTGAGCTGGAAGACAAAGCAAAAGAAATCAGCTAGACAGAGCAGCAAAATGAAAAAGAATTTAAAAAAGTGAAGATACCTTAAGGGACTTCTAGGACAACATCAAGCAGAGTAACACCTACATTATAGAGGTCCCAGGAAAAGGAGGGAGGGTGAAAGGGCCAGAAAAGTTATTTGAAGAAATAATGGCTGAAAACTTCCATAATCTGAGGAAGCGAACAGACATTCAGGTCCAGGAAGCCCAGAGAGTTCCAAGTAAGAGGAATCCAAAGAGAACCACACCAAAACACATTACAATTAACGTGGTAAAAGTTAAAGAATCTTAAAAGCAGTGAGAGAAAAACAACTTACTGTGTACAAGGGAACTCATAAGGTTTTTAGCAGATTTTTCAGCAGAAGCTTTACAGGCCAGAATGGACTGGAATGATACATTTCAAGTGCTGAAAGAAAAAAAATTCCAACCAAGAATTCTCTACCTGGCAAGGTTATCATTCAGAACTGAAGGAGAGAGTAAAATTTCTCCAGATAAAGCAATAGTTAAAGGAGTTCTTCACCACTAAACTGGCCTTATAAGAAAAGAACTTCTTTAAGCTGAAAAGAAAAGGTGCCAATTAATAATAAGAAAACACACACAAGTAAAATTCCCATTGGCAAACATAAATATATAGTAAAGGTAGTGTTTAAATCACTTATAAAGCAATGAGCTACCAGATAGATAAATTAAGAAAACAATCCCATTTACAATTGTATCAAAAAGAATAAACCAATGAGGAATAATACATTTAACCAAGGTAAAAGATCTGTACATTGAAAACTGTAAGACACTGATGACAGATACTGAAGACAAAAATAAATGGAAAGATATTCCATGCTTGTGGATTGGAATAACAATATTGTTTAAAAGTCCATACTACCCAAAACAACCTACAAATTCAATGCAATCCCTATCAAAATTCCAATGGCCTATTTCACAGAACTAGGACAAGAAATTCTGAAATGTGTATGGAACCATAAAGGATCGCAAATAGTCAAAACAATCGAGAAAGAACAAAGCTGGAGGTAACACACGCCCTGATTTCAAACTATACTACAAAGCTACAGTAATCAAAACAGCATGGTACTGGCATAAAAACACACACAGAGCTCAATGGAACAGAACTGAAAGCCCAGAAATAAACATACACATATATAGACAATTAATTTACAATAGAGGAGCAAAGAACACGCAACGGAGAAAGGACAGTCTCTTCATTAGGGTGCTAGGAAAACTGGACAGCCATATGCAAGAGAATGAAACGAGACAACTCTCTCACACCATGCACAAAAATTAACTCAAAATGGGTTAAAGACTTGAATATGAAGGCCTGAAACCATAAAATTCCTATAAGAAAACAGGTGATAAGCTTCTTGACATTGGTCTTAGCAATGTTTCTGTGAATGTGATTCCAGAGGCAAGGGAAACAAAAGCAAAAATAAATGGAACCACATCAAACTAAAAAGCTTCAGTACAGTGAAATAAACTATCAACAAAATGAAAAAGCCATCTACTGAATGGGAGACGATATTGCAAATCATATATTCCACAAAGGGTTACTATTCAAAATATAAAAAGAACTCATAAAATTCAACAACAAAAAACAGACAACCTGATTAAAAAATGGGCAGAGGACTTGAATAGACACTTTTCCAAACAAGACATATAGATGGCCAACAGGCACCTGAAAAAATGTTCAGCATCAGTCACTATTATGGAAATGCAAACCAAAACCACAATGAGATATCACCTCACACATACTAGAATGGCTATTATCAAAGAGATAAGAAATAATAGGTGTTGGAGAGGGTGTGGAGAAAAGGTTAAGCCTCATATACTGTTGGTGGGATTAGAAACTGGTGCAGCCATTATGGAAAACAGTATGGAGAGTCCTCAAAAAATTAAGAACAGAACGACCATATGACTCAGCTGTTCCACTTCTGGGTATTTATCTGAAGAACACAAAAATGCTAATTTGAAAAGATATATGCACCCCTATGTTCACTGCAGCATTATTTACAATTGCCAAGGTATGGAAGGAACCTAAGTGTCTATGGATGAAGAATGGATAATGAAGATGCGGTGTGTGTGTATGTGTGTGTGTGTGTATATAAAAAAAACACTACTCAGCCATAAAAAATAAAATCTTGCCATTTGTGACAATATGGATAGAACTTGAGAACAGTACACTAAGTGAAAATAGTCAGAAAGAAAAAGACAAATACCACATGATTTCACTCATATGTGTAATCTAAAACAAAAACAAACTTATACAGAGAACAGGTCAGTGGTTACCAGAAGGCCAGGGGGCTGGAGGGTGGGCAAAAGGGGCGAAAGGGGTTAACTGTATGGTGACAGATAGTAACTAGATTTGGGGAGTGGTCACTTTGTAGTGTACGCTGATGTCAAATTATAATATTTTACACCTGAAACTTATATAATTATATTTAAACAAATTATACATATTTTAAAATTATATATATATATAATAAATATATAGTGTATATATATATATACACTAAACAAAATCAAGCGCTTACTCTCAAGACAAGATGTGGAAACTACAGCAGAGAAAAATTAAGCACCTTCCCATGGTCAGTGTTAGCACAAGTCCTCGGCAGAGCCAAGCTGGAACCCAGAACTTTCCTGTCCAAACAGGAGGGTCAAGGCCAACTTTCCTGAAGCCACCACCTTGTGTGTGGCCACTGCCAACAGAAACAGGGGACCCAGGGGACCAGCCCTCCCCCAAGTCCCAGCAGGACCTGTTAGGTAACATCTCAGAGTTTGGATCCTGCCCCTTCCTCAGGACACAAGCCAGACGCTACCTCGGGGACACAGTGGAGGGCTGTGAGGCCCCTCAGTGAGCAGATACCCCATACCACAAATGAGGAGGCAGAGACCCGAGAGGAGAGCGCCTGCCTGAAGTCACCACGTCTCAGAAGTCCTACGAGGACAGGGACCCTGGGTCTGCTGATTTCTTTTGCAGCCTTGCGTAAATGGGTTAAAGGCCAGTCTCTACCATCAAAACACCTAGTTCAAATTCCAGCTTCTGTAATCTACTGACTGTGCAAACCTGGCCAAGGGACAACACCTCTCTGAGTTTGTTTCCTCCCCTGCAAAGTGGGAGATGCGACCTCCTTTCCTGAGTTGTTATGTAAGGAAGGTGAAGGAACCTATAAACATCACACTCCACTCACTGAGATCTGGTTCCCCATGGGGCCCCACCCCAAGCAGTGCTCAATGTACTGTAGGGGCTCCAAAAACACGTGGTGTGGTGTCTTCTACCACCACGTCTGACACTAAACATGTGGTTTTCCCACTCCAACAACAATCAATTCTCCGACACTTACTGGGTGTCCAACAATTGAATTCTGACACGAACTCCTGGAGTTAGTGCAGACGCCACAGGTTTCGGGCTCAGTCCCACAAGACTGCCCCCACTTCAGACAATACCTGCAGCTATAAATTCAGGGGTTCCCATGACCCCCACCCCAGGTTCAACAGTCTGCTAGAATGACTCACAGAACTCCGGAAAGTACTTTCCTTACACTGACTGGTTATCATAAAGGATGTGACCCAGGCACGGCCACTGTAAGGGACGCACAGGACAAGGTAAGGCTGGGAGGCAGTGCGGAGCTCCCCACAGCACCCTCCCAGCCCCTCTGTGTGTCCACTAACTCAGAAGCTCCCCGAACCCCGTTGTTTAGGGCTTTTATCAAGGTCTCACCACGTAGGTATAACTGATCAAATCACTGGCTGCTGTTGATTAACTCAATCTCCAGCCCCCTCTCCTTCCTTGGAGGTTGGGGGTGGGATGGGGCTGGGGGGAAGAACTGAAAAGTTCCAACCTTCTAATTAAGGCTTGGTCTTCCTGGCAACCAGCCCCCATCCTGAAGCTATCTGGGGGGCCCCAACCACAGATACAAAAGAGTCTTATCACTCAGGAGAGTCCAAGGGTTTTTAGGCGCTCTGTGCTGGGAACTGGGGACAAAGACCAAATCTATCTACTTTACTATTCCATAAGGGCAAAAGCTTGGAGCTAAGAAAACCAATCCAGGAGCTTCTAAATCCAGACTGCCATGACTTCCTGAAAGAGCGTGGCACTGTGGTGAGATGAAAAGACAGGGGAGCTGACAGAGAAAGCAGGACGGCCCTGGAGACGTCAGGAGAGGAAGAGAGGGCAAGAAGGTTTTAGGTTCAAAAAAGTCACAAGTTCATCAGAAGTGGGTGTGAGTATCCTGCTGGGTCTTCCTGCCTATTCTCACTGTGATTATCTGTCTCCCAGCACCTCCCCAACCCCAGCCTGGAAGCTTCCCAAAGGCAGGGGACTAGTAAAGTTTTATTTTCTGTGGTTTGGGCTTCCTGCTACGCTCCAGTGCTTAGATCACTGTGGACGTTCAAAAAAACACGTCAGTAACCAACCCAATCAGTGCATCCTGTACAGCCCAAGCCCTCACGTGCCTGCCTGTAAATATCTCACCAGGACACAGAATGTAAAATGCCACTATTAAATACCACTCCGGGGAATTAAGAATTTCCTCATGGGGAATCAACAGTAATAATCTCAAGTTACAAATACGTGGGGCTTTGCAGTTTACCAGCAGCTTTCCCTCACACCCTGTGAGTTCTAGCTGAGGGAAGGGGAGCTGAGGGAGGTGAGGTAATTCAGAGTCACACCCCCAGGATGTGAACCCAGGGCCCTGGACTCCAGACAGGGCCTGTGGTGCTCCTTTCTGCAGAGTGACAGTGTGGACATCTCACCAGGACCGGGCACTGGGAGGCGGGGCAGATAGGCAGGGAAAGACAGAGGCCTGACTCACTGAGCTGCCCAGCCAGCCTCATGCTAAGCTATGTACCCGGCTTCACATGCCCACAGCAACGTCCGGACACTGCACAGTCACACCCGCCAGAGGGAGGCAGGAGAGCACAGGGACTGCCGGAAGCTGACAGCCCGCCAGGCACTGCCTTCACTCTGTGGTCCAGCCCCTCTGGGGGAGGAGAAAGGGGCCTGGCCACCCCTGAGAGGCCTAGGCCTGCGGCTACAGGGGCCAGACCAAGCCTAGAGTGCAGACACAGGACAGAGGTGAGTCAGGTGAACCGGGCCAAGGGGCAGTGGAGGGACTGGGAGACCCCCAAGAGCAGGACCCTCCCCACCACTCCTAATGACCCTGAGTGCTACTTTTTTCCATTCAACATCTGTTTCCTAGATGCCACCTCTGAGCCAGGCCCTGTGCTAAGTGTTAGCGCCACTGCCCTCTTGAGTAGGTGGAGACAGCAATAAACATACACAGTAAATGAGTAAATTATCTTGTATGTTAGGGTGAGTGAAAAGAGAACAAGGAGACCAGAGTGAGGGGCTTGGGGCTTTAAAGACGGTGCTCAGGTGGGCCTCACTGAGAAGGTGACACTGATCAAAGACTTGAGGAGGCAGAAAGCGAGGCAGGAGGCCATCTGGGGAAAGTGTTCCAGGCAGAGGCCAAGCGCTGGCAGAGGCGGGGGGTGGGGCCTGGCATGTGCAGGGCGAGGGGGCAGCAGCAGTTAGTGTGGGGAGGAGGGGGCAGGAAGAGAGGATCCAGGCGGCAGATGGTGGGAGCCCCTCTAACATGCCAAGCCCCCTGTCAGCAGCCCACGGCCCTGCCACCCACTTGGGGGTATCAACTTGGAAGCCTGCATATGGATCCCAATTGCCACATGCGGCTGCATGACCTTACAAAGTCTCCTCCCTTCCCAAGGCTCCTGCCCGCTCTGTAGCTGTAACAACAGTAGTGGATCTGCAGGGTTGTGGTGAGGAATGGGAATCAAAATAGTGGCCACCTGCAGGAAAGATTTACAGTATGCCTCCTGCAAACTGGGATCTTAGGACCCCCAAAAGGCAGAGCTGCCCTCCCCCCAACCAACACACTGCCTCAGGAGAGGGACATTCCAGTCAGTAAGGAATTGTGCTTGATTGCCCACTCCAATAGCACCCAGGGGGGGCGCTGAAGGGGTGCTCGGCTCTCCCAGGGGACACGGCCGTCAGGAAGGCTTCTTAGATGAGGTGGCCCTGGAGGCTGGGGCTCACTAGGAACACCAGGGGAATCAGCGGGGGCAAAGGACAGGAGGAGAGGGACAGGAGGCGTGGGTAGGAGGAGTGGGCAGATCCAGGGCAAAGGGCAAGTGGGGTGGGAGGTGGCTGCGCAGAGAGCATGCCCTCTGTTCCACAAACAGCAGGCACCAAGGAGCGGATCCCCAGTAGGTGAGGTAAACAATGTGAATGCAGTTTAAGAGCTTATGCCGGCAGCCAGCGAGGGAACAGATGAAAGACACTAAGAACAAGTGAGAGATGATGGTGGCCTGGGTGGTAGCCATGGGAATGGAAGGAACAATGGATCTGAGAGACTCAAGAAGTAGAACAGACTAGACCTGGTGGTTGCCTTACAGTAGTGGAACAGGGGCTTCTAAGAGGCTGAGGGCTTGCTGTGTAGGAGGCAGGGTCTACCGTGGCTGGCGGGACTCACACCGGGCTCAAAGGGGAACACTTCACAGGCAAAGAGCAGGCTTCCTCTCCTCAGCTCCATAGTATCCCTCAAGGCTCCAAGAAGTGGGCTGAGTAAGCCTGGAATGTAGGAGATCCCCAGTGAGTCCCCTAGGCGGGGCTGCAGCATGGGCAGAGCATGTGTCCTGTGCCCAGACCCCGTCTAGGATCTTCCCAGGCAATGCTTGTAACACAAACTGAAGCGGCAGAGCAGGTCTTGGGATCAGACTCTGTCAAAATCTTGCCTAACTGTTCACTGAACTACTGTTTAGTGAGCAGTTACTGCGTACAGCCCTGGACAGTGCCTGGTACACAGCCAAGTGTCCACAGAGAGGAATGTGGGGATGGAGTGGCACTCAGGCATTTAAGGGAAGTTGCTTTCCTCCAAAGCAGGCCCTGACTGACACCCAGCCCTGAGCATTGCCTCCTGCACACAGGATCTTAGGGGCGCCCAAGGCTCAGAGCAGCCAAGCCAGAAGTATCTCTTCTCAGACACCAGGCAGATCCAGACTACAATGGGCAGTCCAGTGCACCGAGTGTCACTGGGGGACACCTGGAGCAAGCAAGTGCACCCTGACATACAGAGCGAGAGGCACATGCAGTCCTTTGATGTGGAACAGCTCACCAAAATCCTTGATGGAGGTGCCCAGAACACTGCACTTCGCAGGAAAGTTGGTAAGAGGAGGCTAGGGAATAGAGCATCTGTTTTATAAAAATATGCTTTTCTCAGAAAGAGTCCTTCAATAGCAGTCCCACCTCCAAATAACAAACTCTGCCCTCAAAATTCCACTGTTAGAGATTCATTCCTTTGGACCTTGAAGGCATCTTTAACATGTCAAAATTCCCTGAGCCCATCTAGGCTATGGAAGAGTCCTAGGCAGCAGAAGGCCTGGATGCTAGTCCTTATTCTTCCACTGAATAGCTGTGTAACTTGGGCAAGTCACTTTCCCACCTCTGGGCCTCACTCATTTTATCTGTGAAATGACAGTAATGTTTGACTTCCTTTCCAAGTCCATAAGGCAAGTGGATGGGAAGATGTGAAGGTACCAGGAACCTCACCCAGGACTCTAACCCCTCTCTTCTCTGTCCCTGGCAGAAAGCATCATCCACAGTGACCCAGAGTTTAGCCTGAAGGATAATTATTTCATGACCCAAAATGAACGTTATGAAGCCGCCTGTAAGAAGAAATTCCACATTCAGATGTTAGCACAGCGCCTTGGTTGGTCGGAAGACAGTCGTGAGTTAGGATACGCTTACAGGTGTTCTATCCCAGGACAGCCCACCAGAGAGGAATTCACCTGGGATCCCCCAGAAAACCCAGCCCATGGACTGTTTTCCCCAACATAGGGACTGCTTGTTGGGAAACCAGGATAGCAAGCTCCCCTTCCCCCCTGCACTCACTCCCCCAGCCTGAGGGGCCCTGGGCCCTTGTCTCCAATAGGCTGTTCAACCACTGTCTCTCTCCCCAACAGAAGCCTTTCTGGAGATCTGGCCTTAGGTATACACAACATCTTCCTGAAATCCATCAGGAGCCTGGGCTCAGAGGAGCAGATTGCCAAGTGGGCCCCACTCTGCAACAAGTTCCAGATCATTGCAACATACGCCCAGACAGAACTGGGGCACGGTGAGCAGAGGCTACTGTGTGCAGTGTGCAGGTTATGCACCTCACAGCTCCGGAGTCACAGATTTGTGTATTTAGTGTGAAGACGTTACAGCAGGTGGCAGTCACGGGTCCTGAGGAAGAGGTGGTTTTCTCTAATTTATATGAACACATTTTATGAGCTAGCAGCGGAGCAAGTCGTTCCTTCTGGAAATGTCAACCACCATCCTTATCATGGGCTGGCCATGTGTCCCCTGCACAGCCCACCGGTGAAAGGAGACTACAGCTGGGAGCTACCCCCTACTCCATACTGGGCTGGTGCCCGGGAGCTCCAGGCCCATCTAGACGCTGCTCCCCCGGAGAGATTTCCATCCTGGCCCAATGTTTAACACCCCTCTTTCATTTCCAGGGACATATCTTCAGGGCCTGGAGACTGAAGCCACCTACGATGCAGCTACCCAGGAGTTTGTGGTGCACAGTCCCACGATGACGGCCATCAAATGGTGGCCCGGTGGCCGTGAGTATGCATTCGTCCCTCAGCCCCATCTGTCCCCAAGGACAACAAGGTGGACAGCACTGACTTTGATGTCCAACAGACCTCAAATCGATTCCCTGTTCTAGGCTGGTGACCTCAGGCAAGTCAGTTGCCCCCCCCCGAGCCCCAGGTTCTCATTCAGTAAAACAGAGGGGATGTGAAGAATTTCATCAGTGAGTGGCTGAGCGGCCCCCGGGGGAACTGTGAAATAGCAGAGGAAACCAATCCAAACTCTGGGGGGTAACAGTCAAGGCCTCTCTCTCACACACAGCACCCCACCCAACACACACGCCTGGCCTTGTCTCAGGCACCCCCCACCCCACTCCTCTCATCAACCAAGTTAACGATTAAGCTTGCCACCAGCCAGCGCTTGCCACCACCAGAGTGTAACTACTCATGATGTGCAACAATATCATGAGGTAAAACAGTGTTAGCTTTAAGTCCTTCTAAGAGCACATGTAAGATGCCTGTGTAACAATTGGGTGTAAGTGATAAAATGTATGGTCGGTAAAGTGTTTCCCCGTTAACGTACCTCTGAGCCTGTTCTTGATGTCTGGATTGGTTTTCCTCAATGAGGAAAACGTCCCTCCCTTCCCCAGCTCCAGACACCCAGAAAGGCTCAGGCCCCCCCCAGCACCGACCTGGCCGCTGGTGCCACATCACCCACTGTGGCCCCCGGGGGGGCCTCTGGGACTGTGCTCCCCAGAGTCTCAGGGATTTGCCAAGCCCCAAGGCCCTCTTCCTTCGATTTGAGGATACACATCTGAAGACCCATCTGTGGCACTTGAGGACACATTAGGTGAACCCTAATATGGAAAATATATATATAACGAGTGTGAGCAGTCCAACTAAAGCAGAGAGACAGAGATGTGAGAGACCTGCAGAGAAGGAGGAAGACTGAGAGGGAGAGAGAGGTGGAGGGACAGAGTAAGAGAGCAATGCAGGGGGCGGGGGTGGGAATCAGTGTCCACTGACCAAAGTGCAGAGAAAAGAAAACAGCCTTTGAAATTAGGCAGGTTCAAATCCAGGTTCTGCCACCGCCAAGCCAGTGACCTCAAGCACTTTACTTCATTCTCTGAGCCTCGGTTTCCTTAACCGGAAAAAGGGACGCAGTATACCTGTCCTGCAAAGACTGGAAAGCACCAGCACAGGGGCTGGACCACCTGGATATTAGTCAGCGCTAGTCATCTGTGTTCATTATTATTAGGTTGATGGCAGAGTGAGTCATTAATAGGTTTTTGAGAATAGGAAAAAAAGCTTGCTTATTTCACAGTGCCTCTTGCAAGTCACTGCTAGATTTGTTTAGCTCTTTGAGGGTAGTTCCTCCTCTTCGTGTTCAGTGACAACTTGAGGTCCCACAGGGGCCCATCTGCTGGGGTGGGGGCAGCGATGCACACATCTCCCCATGATTTGGAACCCACGTTCTGATCCCAGATTCTGACACACATACCCCAGCATCTTGGGTGTAAAAATCCTCCCTCCACAATTTCAAAGAAAATAACTCAACAGCACACACTTCAGTCAGAAGAATATGATAAAACCAAGTTTTAAAAGATGTCAAGCTTTCCCAGATTGCTCCATTTGGGGTGTTTTCATTCACGTCCATAGCCTTTGCCAAGCTTTGCCTTTGGAAGGAAGAGCAGCCAGAGGGGGTGGAGGGCTTTGGTCCCCTCAAGATCTCATCAGCCTCCGTGAGCCTCCGTGCCTGTGGAGATCCTGCCTGTGTATTGCAGGCTGGTTGCTACACAAACCTGACTTGCAGACACGACCTCCAGTACCTCCAGCCACCAAGTCTCCATAAATCCCTCCCCGCCAGTGCACGCTAGAGCCAGACACTGTCATTAAAGCTCTATGAATGGTTCCAGCTATTTCCAAGGATGAGTCAAGGCCTTGTGAATCAGGGAGTATCCTGACCAAGCACCCCTGGGCTGCCCTGGATGCTACCTCCTCCAGTGCCTGGCCCCACCAAGCCAATCCAGTCCTCAAGCTTCTGAGCATCCTGTTCCCTCTGCCTTGCACACCCTGTCCTGTGTGGTTCTCCTGGAAAGCACCCCTTGCCCTCCAGGCTCCTGTGCATCCTCCCCTGACCCCACACCCTATGAGGCAAATCAGACAAAGCCCCAGCCCATCTCATGGAGTGCCCTTCCCTTCCCCATGGTCCTCCTCACAGATTGGGCCCACATCCAGGGCCTTGATGGGGGAGGGTTCGCTTGTCTGCTCTGTACACGGGGGATCACGCAGAGCCTCTCACCTCTCTGCCTCAGTGGGACGGTCAGCCACCCATGCCCTGGTCCTGGCCCAGCTGATCTGCTCAGGAGCCCGGCAGGGCATGCATGCCTTTATAGTGCCCATCCGGAGCCTCCAGGACCACAGCCCACTGCCAGGTAAGCCCCTGTTGCTTCTTCTAGGACCCCTGCCAGGAGATCCCTACCAGACCCCATCAGGCCTCCAGTCTTGGGGCACCAGAGGTCCATGGGAGAAACTAGGATATGTCTCCCTCGGGCAGAGAGGGGCCCAGTTGTACCTGTTAGACCTGGTGCTAACTGGCTGGGTGACTGTGAGCAAGATTCTGCACCTGACCTCAGCATGGTCCCCTGCAAACAGGTGTAATAACCCCAATGTCACAGGCCGCTCTGCGGCTTAGATGAGTTGGCATGCCTGTGTGGTACCTGACACACAGCAAGCTCTCAACCCAAGGACGTACCCACCTCCATCTCCTCCTAGGAATCACTGTTGGAGACATTGGGCCCAAGATGGACTTTGACGACATTGATAATGGCTTCTTGCAACTGGACCGCGTGCGGATCCCCAGGGAGAACATGCTGAGTCGCTTTGCACAGGTGGGCTGAGGGCGGCATGCATACTTACCTACAGTGTGGCCTGGACACAGCCAGTCACTGAACAGACGCCAGCTGAGTGCTAGAGGACATTCTGGAGGTCCCCGTTTTGCCAGACATTATCACGTGGGGAGGTCCAGGGTGTCCCAGGAGAGGAGCTGTGAACCGAGCCACTCAGACAGTAGCTATTTCACAAGGAGCACAGCAATGTTTCCGTTTTAACGCGAACATCCTGGCTGGCGGTTCACTATGTCTTTTCCAGGCGAGGACTCTGGTGCCCGCAGTTCTGGGCATGGGGCGGGCTGGGGAGCCTTGGCTCAGACCCATTGCCTGTCCTTGGCCCACCAGGTCTTGCCAGACGGCACCTACATCAAGCTCGGAACAGCAAAGGCCAACTACCTCACCATGGTGGTGACGCGGGTGGACATACTGTTGGGCGAGGTCATACCGATGCTAGAAAAGGCTTGCGTCATCGCCATCCGCTACTCGGTCGTACGCCGCCAATCCCGGATCCGGCCCAGGCAAGGGGCGCCCAGAGGAGCTGCCGCAGCCGGGGTTACCTTGGTCCCACAGTGCCTGCCGCCTGACACCAACCCTCCTCCAGAGAGGGGTGCTGGGAGCACGCATTACTCTCCCTTGCACACACACCTGCCTGGACCTCCCCCATCTGGTCTGTCGGGTCTCTGTCAGGCTCCCTCTGATCCTGGCTGACTGGCTGGTGCACCTCTATCTGGCAGTGTCTGGTCGCACAGGGCTTTGTGGGACTGTGTGTCTTTGGCCCTGTACCACCAGCTCTGCCTCAGTCTGTCTGTCCTAGTCCAGCTGGGTCCAGCACAGCTGTGACCGGCTGAGTGTGTCTGGGATGGCTGGGTGCCAAGCAAGCTGTGGGTGAGTGTGGCTCCCGAGTTTGTTCTGTCAGATGTGAGCGATTGTGTCTGGAAAAGCCCAGCTGCCACTCTGATTGGACTGTACACAGCTGAGGTTGGTTCTGTCTGGCTGTGACTGTCAACCTCTGACGGTGGCATGTCCACATCTGGATCCGTTTTGTGGTGTGTGGCTGTGTCTGGCTAATAATCAGTCCCCTCCACGGTTACTGCAGGCCCCTATGCTGCATGAGCCTCAGGCACTGAGGACACGGCAACGGACAAGGCAGGCGCCGTCCCCACCTCGGAACCCCCCCCAGACCCAAACCCACACCCTCAGTGTTACTGATTAGGCTCCACGTATTTCCCAGCACACAGCACCTGCACCTGGACAGCAAAAGGTCAAGGTTCAAATCATCTGGGGTGCAGGGCCACAAGCCCTCAACCGAAATCCTTCAGATATGTTGGAATTCAGAACTTTCCAGATTTTAGCAGGATAATACAGTGCACATATTGTAATTTTGTAAACCTACTCCACAAGAGGCAGCACCCATTAAGTAAACATGTCAATATTTCTACAGCAAAACGTGTGGATTTCACGTTAGATGGGAATTTAAGATTATCACTACCCTCACATCAGTCCAGGTCAAGTTTTGCCATGAGTTATAAAAACCGTCCATTTTAAAGGCTTTTATGGCACTAGGGACATGGGAAGGCAGATGTAGCACGTAGCGATTATCTAAATCTTCCCTCAGCGACCCGGAGGCTAAAGTCCTGGACTACCAGACGCAGCAGCAGAAACTTCTCCCTCAGCTGGCCACGGCCTATGCGTTCCACTTCCTGGCGAGCAGCCTCCTGGAGTTCTTCCATCGCTCCTACAGTTCCACTTTGGACAAAGACTTCAGCCTCCTGCCTGAGGTACCTGCTGCCTGCAGTGGGCGGGATGAGGAGGGTGACTGGAACTGTCCTCCCACTGGGAAGCAGCCCCCATGGGCTCTTTCACTCCGCCCCCCCCCCGACTTCCAACATCCCAGGGCCCCCTGGGTGAACTGTACCTCAATATACAAATCCACCCACATCTGGCCCCCAGAAAGCTTCAGACATATTAGAGGAAATAATCATACACAGCATACACAACACAGGTGCACAACCCCTGGTGTGACTTTGAAACCCAAAAAGGTCTGAAAACCAGAAGTCGTTTAGAACTCATTTGGTGGCACAGTTTGACCTGAATTAACCTGATTTACCCACTGCATGCGAAAACATTTTTCAGCAGAAATATTAACATATTGAATTTCTAAGGCTGCCCTGGACTCGTCTAGTAGTTTTACATATAATCTACCTTAAATGCCCTGCTTTACCTTTCTAAAATTCAAAACAATATTCTGATTCCAAAACATATCTGGCCTCTAAGGTCTCAGATAAAGGACTGTGGACTTACATATACATTAAGGTTTAGTCTGTCCAGGCCGTGTGCTTTATAAACATTGCTTCATTAATCCTTCCAACTGTATAGCACGCACCATTTGTATATCCATTTTGCAGATGAGGGAAGTGAAGCACAGAAAGGTTAAGGGAGACAATCTTCCACCCAAGGACTTGAAAGTCTGAAAGATGGGAAAGGGCTTTTAAGACCAAAAACTCAAACCAGGTCTGCTGCCTGGCAGCTCCTCCTACAACCCAGAGCAGTGGGTTGATGGTGGACCTCCATTCCCACAGGCCAGCTCTCCAAAACCCCTGCTTGCCAGCAAAATCCATAGCTCTTAGATGATGGTGAGCCTGATCCAGGAAGTACCCTCTTCCCGAGATCCTGGAAACATTGGCCCAGTGTTCCTATGTTCTTCTTGCCCCTACAGCAGGACTGCCTCTTTGTATGACCTTGGGTGAGTCACATAACCTGAGTCACAGTCTTCTCACTCATCAAGTTGTGAGCTGAGGAAACAGGGCTTACCTCACAGAGCTGTGCTCAGTATACAGTAGGCACTCCGTAAATGCTAAGCATGGTTGTTGCTGGAGGGCCCCCCTTTGCCACCTGACTCCCTTCCTGTTCTCACAGCTTCATGCACTGAGCGCAGGTGCCAAGGCCATGGTGACGGACTTCTGCGCCCAGGGGGTGGAGCTGTGCCGCAGGGCCTGCGGTGGACACGGTTACTCAAAGCTGAGCGGCCTGCCCTCCCTGGTCACCAGGGTGGCAGCCTCCTGCACCTATGAGGGTGAGAACACTGTGCTCTACCTGCAGACGGCCAGGTAAGGCCCAGGCCTCTGCCCAGCCCCCAGGGACCCCCCCCCAGGCTCTGCGCAGCTGAAGTACCTTCTAATGCCCACAGATGGAGCAGACTCTGGGGACCGCCGATAGGAGACTGTCCAACTCCCTCAACATGTCTCCAGTCCATCCTCTTCTCCCCAGATCCATGCAGCTCCCAGCCAGGCCGCCATCCCTCTCACTGGACAACAGCATCAATCTCCTCACTGGCCTGCCGCTTCCACCCTGCCCCACCTCAGCCCTTTCTCCACAGGCAGCCGGAGGGAGCTTTTCAAAACCTAGAGAAGATCACATCCTCCCCTTGCTTGAAATTCTTCAATGGCTCCCACAGCTCTTAGGGAAATGCCACAGTCCACACTGCGGCCTTATGACCTGGCCCCTGCTCCCTCTCTGTCCTCTGCTCACCTCCGCCAGCCACACGTTTCTCTTTCCCTTGCTCGCTTCCCTCCCGATACTCTCTGCCCCCAGGTTGTTGTACAGCTGTCTCCTGCTCACCCTTCAGGTCTCAGCTCAAATGACCCCTCCTCGGACGCCCTCCGTGACCACTCCGCCTAGAGTAGCCCCGTCCAACCCTCCCACTCAACACTGTCCTGTTTCCTTCAGAGCCATTATGACAATCAGAAAGCGTCTCTTTTTGTGTGACCTGGAGCTCCTTGAGGGCAGGGAGTCCACCTGCCTTGTTCACTGCCGTACCCCAGGTTTGGTGCAGGGTCTGCACCAGGAGGCTGCAACCTAAAAGGCAGGGAGAAATGGCTGATTCCACTTCCTCCCAACAGGTGTTTTCTTTTCATCCCTCTTAAGCCTGTGGGTCTCGTGGCTGACAAGGCCTTCCTCGTGCAGGCTCAGGTGACCAGATGGGGCGACTACATCTCCATGCAGGGAGAAAGGGCTTACTACTGGCCAATATGTTACATAATATTTCCTTAAAGCTTTTAAAATATATACTTATTGGGTTTTTTTCAAATCACAAAAAGAATACAAAATCATGTATTAGATACTCTATGCTCTGCACTGTGCCAGGAACTCTACAAGTCCTATTTGCATTCAGTTTTCACAAGCCCCCCTGTGAGGTGGCTCATCCTTATCTAGAGAGGGAGAAACTGAGGCTGAGGGAAATGGAGGAACTTCTACAGTGTCACATAGGTCTCAGTGGAGCTGCACAGAAATCCAGGGCTGTCTGACCCAGGCTACAACCACTGCGCTGTCACAAGGGAGAAGCCGAGTCACCTGTGATTCTCCGGTTCATGTTCTCATCCTTGCCTCTATCCTTTTATCAGCTAAGAAAATTTAATTTCCGCAGTCACCATACAATTCATCGTAAGTCCCCGAATCACAAGATCCTAACCAAGAGAAAAGATTGTCTGTTCAGATATCAAAAGGGTTTATGTTCAGGAGCTGAGAGTGTCTGCCCAGCTCTGCAGCCCCAGCCGCAGCCGTTTCACTCTGAAGCACACTACAGCCCGGGCATGCACTTCGGCTTTGAAGTGAGAAGCAGCCATCAGCAGGGACCTGGGGAAGAGCCTGGGTGGCCTTGGTTCTCCTACAGGGAGCATAAGAGTGCATGCTGCTGGGAGACAGGGGTGCTGGGCTGTCCCACAAAGCTCCCCACCCCCTCACCTGCCTGTACCCCTGCCCCCCAGGTTTCTGGTGAAGATCTACCTGCAGGCTCAGGAGTCCCCAGGCTCCACATCTCAGAGGTCTCTCCCTCAGTCTGTTGCATACCTGACGGCACCTGACCAGACCAGGTGCCCAGCCCAAAGGGCTGCCGACTTCCTCCACCCAGAGCTCTACACCACGGCCTGGGCACACGTGGCAACCAGGTAAGCTGGAGCTGAGAGATCAGCCTTCCCAACCGGGGGCAGACTCCTTCCCACACCAGGGCCTTTGGGATTGGCTGGGTGGGCACTGGTGGACACTCTTCCAAAAACCACCCCTACCCCAACCCCCTCAGTCCTCTCAGCTCCTACTGAGAGAAGGGAAAATCACGCCCATCAGCCATGGACCACCGTCACGTCCCCATTCTGGTCAAGATAGTGGAAACACATCACCTCTCTGACCAGTGCAAGGAATTTTTAAAATCTTTAGGTTCTTACTGTGATTTGCAATACAAAGAACGTACCCATATGGAAATACTACAAATGTATCAGTATGTAAATACCAGGAAACAAAGCAATACAGTTGTCTCAATAGGGATCTATCTCTAGAGGATTGGTTCCAAGACCCCTTTAGATACCAAAATCTGAGGATGCTCAAATCCTTAATATAAAATGGGATATTTGCATATTTGTGATATTACATGTAGGTGTATGCATGTAACCTAGACATCCTCCCATATACTTTAAATCATCTCTAGATTATTTACACTACCTAACAAAATGTAAATGTTATGTGAATAGTTGTAAATACAATGCAAATGATACGTAAATAGTTGCCAGTGTGCAGAATTCGACTTTTGCTTTTTAGAACTTTCTGGAATTTTTTCCATCCTTGGTTGGTTCAATTTGAAGATGCAGAGACAGTGGACACATAGGGACAACGGTACTCACATGTTTGAAATACCCCACAATCTAAAAATAATTTTCAAAAATATGTCTATATCAAGAGAGAGAATTTATTTCCAGGGACTAGTAGGCTCCAGGGAACACAGACAAGACCAAGGACTCCTCCATTCTGTCATTCAGCAAATACTGTCAGGCACTACTGGATGTCAGGAGTATCCAGACACGCCAAGGGCTGGGCATAGAGAGAGGTCGTGGCCAAATCCAGACACCCAGCTTGGAAAAGAAGGAGAAATTTAACTACCTAGAAAGGAGACCTTCTGAGCCCCTCCCCAACTGACACACCAAAAACAACCTGGAAAGACCAGTTTCAGTATATAATAAGAGGTCTGATACCCCAACCCATGGTCCCAGAGATGGTCAGTAGTCATTTCAAGATCACAAGCAACTCGGAACATTCATTCACTTTTTTCTACAAATATTTATAAAGTGTCTACAATATGCCAAGCACTGTTCCAGGCACTAGGCATCTATCAATAAACCAGGCATCACAGAACTGACATTTCAGTTGGAGTAGTTGGGTGGGCGAAATAAGGCTGCTCAGGGTAATTAAAATGCCATCACAGTTGGCCCTCCGTATCCACGAATGCAGAGCCCGTGGATGGGGGGGCCGGCCATATTATGCCGTTTTATACAAGGGACTTGAGCATCTCGATTTTGCCAACTGCGCGGGTCCTAGAGCCAGTTCCCCCGCAGATACTGAGGGACAGCTGCATGTTGCTTTCTGCTTAGAACTCAATGTGACGTGTGCTCTTCTATTTTGTAACAAAGCAAAGTAAGCTTAATAAACTTCTGCATACAAATTCCAAGGGTCATGAATGGATAGGAAGGGAGTAAAAAAAAATAAAATAAAGGTTAACTAAATGACGAATGATCAATTTTGTGGTTTGGAGGACAAGGGTTGGTTTTCTGTCTCTCTCTCTTTTTTTTTTCCTTTAAGGTCATTTAGGTACAACTGGGAGCAGATTGGGTGACCATCAGGCCTCAATGGCCGTTAGAGAAAAACCACTCTCCTTGCTTGGCTATAGGAAGTCAGTCAACTGCATGGCCTGAAAACACTGGTATCAGGATGGAGTCTGTATTAGAAGAGGGGTGGCACCTGTCCAGGGCCCTGAGATTTTACAGCTGGGAGGTCAAGAACAGCTCCACTCTTTACTAGCTCTGTGACCCTCGACCAGTTAGCTAAGCTCTCTGGGACTCAGTTTTTCCCCACTGTAAATGGGGAATGCCTGCCCTTAAAGGGTTAAAGAGATAATGCATATCAAGTATTTAGCTTTGTAATACAAACAAATGGTCACAAAATGGGAATTATTTTCGCTTCTCCAGGACCACAGGCAGCCTAGGACCAAACGCTAACAATCTCTTCCCCACTCAGTTAAGAAGCAAAACCTTTTTTCTTTGGCCTTCAGGCTCATAAAGGACTCAGCGCATCATTTACAGACTCTGATGAAATCTGGGGCGGACTGGCACGAGGCATGGAACCAGACCACTGTCATACATCTCCAGGCTGCCAAGGTGAGCTGCCCATCAGCTAAAGCTGCAAGGGACCCGTTTTGTTCCCCCAGCAGGCTACCCTGCTGAGAACATCTGAACTCTGCCATTATTCCCCAGCCTTACTCAGTGGCTGCCCTCATTTCACTTCCAAGGCTTTAGTCCAGGGTATTTTAATTAAAGGACTTAACTCCAAAGCAATCTTGCTAGCAGCTCTTAGGGAAAAAACGTAATGAGGCAGTGTTATTGGATTTGCTTCAGGTTGTTCAAATATTTCCTCCCAGATAGAAAAGCAGGTCAAGTCTCCCCTCAGCCCCAGAGCCAATCCTTTAGATGTCTGATTCAATTTCCACTATGTTTTGTGTTTGTGCATAATTCACAGTCAGCAAATATATGAGCACCCACTCAACACCAGGCATCAGGCTGGGCACTGGGGGCTCAGCAGTGCCCATAAACAGCCACAATCAAGGGAACACTGTGATGGGGAAACACAGAGTGCCATGAGACCCCAGAGCAGGTGCATGTCTACTCACCTTGAGGAGGCATAACAGGCCAAGACTGCAAGGATGAGCTGAGATTAGCCAGGCAAGGGGTGGAGGTTGTGGCTTTGGAGAGGAAGGTTTCTCAGCAAAGAGAACAGCAGGTGTGAAAGGAGGAGGCAAGAAAAGGCATGGTACTTGGGAGGAAATGCACATCCTCCTAAAGAGGACCTCAAGGAAGAAGACAAACAAGGAGAGAAAGGAAGGGAGGGGGAAAGACAGGCAAGGCCTGGGACCTTCTGCACCATTGTGAGAAATCTGGGTTTTATTTTCATTGCAACTGGAAGCCTTCGCAGGGTTTATATCAAGAGAGTGGACCAATCATATTCATTCTACAAGGATCCCACAGGCTGCAAGGGGAGAAATGGATGGGAGACTGGAGGTCAGTGAGGAGCAGGCAGCAGCAGCCTGGCCAAGGGGTGAGGGTAGTCCCGGCCATGAACTTGGCAGAGGGCATGGAGAGAAGTGGGTAGATGCAGAGATATTGAGGGAGTAGAAGGGACAGGCTTCAGGGAGTAATGGAGCAGGAAAGAGGTAAGAATGACTCCCGAGCTCTAGCTTAGGTAGCTGGGATCCTGGTCCCACCTACAGCTGGGAAACCAAGGTGACCATTCACTCCTCAGGCATCAGGTCCAGAAAATGGCAGCCTTAGAACAGGAGAGCCCTGAAGTGTTTTGCAGCAGCCCCTGCCGGGCAGGGCCAGTCAGGCAGGCTTGAGCATGAGCGCCACCTGGTGACCTGCCACCTCCTATCACAATGGCCAGGGACGGTACTGAACTTTGCCAGCCACCATTCTGCCCTGTCCACTGCAGGGGCACTCCCTGTTGTGCTAAACGTCCTACCAGCACAGAGGAGGCTGAGCCAAGGCTGTGCTCCACCAGACATCAAAAAAGGAACCACAGTCACCCATCATTCACCTGCCTTCAAACAGCCCAGACACTGCTTGCCAGGGTTACTTCATTTAACACACACGACCCTGAGAGGGAGAGGTGCACAAACGCAGTTTTAAGGATGAGTGGCTTGCTGGGACGGTGGTGCCCAAGCTGAGTCTCCAAAGTCGTAATGGGCAGGGAAATCTGCCCCTTCTGGTCTTTGTGCCCTGGGAGGCCATCTCCTCTACAGAAATCTCAAGCATCCAACTGGGTTCTATCTGGAAACCATAAACGTATAGGTAGAGTGATGGCAACACAAGGCAGGTGGGGAACAGAGGCAGAGGGTGGACAAGGAGGAGCGAACCCTCGCCTATATTCTGGTCCCAGCTCTGTACCTGACCTGCCACGTGACCTCAAGCAGTCCTTCCCGCTCTGGGCTTTAACTTCCCCGACTTGTAAAGGGGCACGGAAGAGCCCTTTAGGCTCTGATGGGCTCTGGTCTTAGAATCTCAGGCTCTGCCCAGGAGGTCAGTCCTTAGAACCACTGGAGCAAATGCTGGTACCCATTATAATCTAGCCTCAGTCTCCAGTGGCTTTGGCAATGCAGGGTAGTGGTTAACAGTACAGACTTAACCAGGAGGCAGATCACTTAGTACCCACTTACCAGTGACCTTGGGCAAAGAACTTAATCTCTCAATGCCCCAGTCTCATCTGCAAAGTGGAGCTAATAACAGTACCCACCTTGAAGGATAATGAAGATTAAATGAGTTAACACATGTAAAACTTAAAGGGGCACCTAGCATATAAATGCTACACATCCCATCCCCAACCCCAAATAAGACAGGAGGCAGGACTGAAACCAACACACACACAAAGTAAATAAAGTTCACTACGTTCAGAGCATGGTGCCAAGGTTTGGTTCAGCCTCTCCATAAAGGAAGAGGTCAGTTTCTGTCTCTGGTCCTCCTCCTGCTTTGCAAGGCGGAGACCCAAGCCCTCGGGCAGCTCTTCATCACTCCAATCCTGAGAATTTGGGGATGTGGCCCTCGCGTTAGAACAGGGAAACAGGGCCTAAATGAAAAAAGTGAGTCTCCAGGTTTGCCAAACTGAGTCCAGTTTGAGCACCAGGGGCTGTTTGACCAGGGGCAGCAGAGCACATCCACTTCTTTTCCACATCCAAATGGTGCAAACCCAGCATGGCTGTGAGCACCCCAGGTCCAGGTGGCAAAAAGGTGCTATTGGCACCTGCGCTTAAGGCCTCCTGGGAAAGGCAGATCCTCTCTAAGTGAGAAACTTCATCAGGTCATTGGTCTGTTGAAG